ACCTGAGTCAAGTGTGAAGGTGTGCAAGGCCTCAGCAGGCGCAGTACCAGAGAGAGCAGACTCACCAGCACCTGGAGCAGCAGACTCACTAGCACCTAGAGCAGCAGCCTCACCAGCACCTAGAGCAGTAGACTCTATACCTGGGTCGGGCGGCACACACAGGAAACAGTCACCCTCAGCACAAATAGTCACAGCATACATGGCAGCAAGGATAGCATCAAAGTCTAGAGCAAAGATATCAACATTCTGCCTAAGCAGATCAGCCCAGCTAGGGAGCTCAGGAGCGTCAGGAAACTGCACGCGCCAGGCGTCAGACAGGCGACCGAAACAACGCTGCGACGTGTGTGGCCCTCCGCACGTCTCCCCACGGCGACCGCCGGTGCGGAGAACGTAAGTGCAAAAACCAGCACCCCCAGACCTCCCACGCCCAGCGTACCACTCACGAAGCTGCTGAGGCGAGGGGGTCTCACGGGAAAGCTGCTGCTGTTGGCGCTGGCGACCGCCGAAGCCTCCACGCTCCGCAGCTCCACCCCGACCAGCACCACCGCCGCCGCCACCTCCAGCTCCGCTGCCACCGCCTCCACCACCACTGCCGCTGCCTCCACCACCGCTGCCGCTGCCTCCACCACCTCCACCGCCACCACCGACACCTCCACCCCCGCCACCACCCTTGCCTCCACCCCCACCCCCTCCGCCTCCTCCACCGCCACCACCGCCGCCCCCGCCGTCCCCTCCACCACCCTTGCCCCCCTTGCCCTTGCCGCTGCGGCGCCTGTCACTAGGAGCAGACGCAGCCCCGACCTGCTCGGTGCCAACGAGGTCGACAGCAGCAGCAGAAGCAACAGGGGGCAGAAGGGGAACGGGGGAACACCCCTCAAAGAAAGGGGCGCGAGGGTCGCCGCGAGAAGCACCTACAACAACTATACTCTTCTCAGCTGCAGTGAGGCGCTCCTCCAGCAGGTCAACGGTGAGCTCGGTGGGGCAAAGGGAGAGAAAGTGGTCCCTGACTGAAGAAAGGGAGTCAGGGAGACGGGTGACTAGGTAGAAGAGAGTGATGTACATGGGGAGGGGGGTTCTTGGCGCAGAACTCGGAGGGAAGGGCAGCTCGGTAGCGGGCGTCACTAGTGCGGAGGTGGGTAATGAGGTCAGCGACTGTAGCAAAGGCGGCCAGGTCAGGGAACAGGTACGGTAGCATGAGGCGGCTGAGAGTAGTAGTGGTAGGGGAGGAGTAGCGCGCTACAACAACGTCATACAGAGACTTAGCAGTCTTGTACTGACCAAAGTGCGCGCGCTCAGCAGAAGGCAGGTGACTACGAACAGCAAGGCGAGCAACAGCGTCACGAGTAGTCCACTGCGAGCGAACTGTACTGTCAGCATCGGCAGCAGGTGCAGTAGAGGCGCCGGACGTGAGATAAAAAAGAGAGATACCGTCCTTACTATCGCACTGAAGAAACAGCTGCAGATCATCGACCCAGACATGGAAGTCAACGGCACGACCCTCAGCATCGAAAGAAAGAACTATAAGGCTAGCCATAGCGACAGTAGCAGCAGTGGCAGCAGAAGCAGCAGTAGCAGCAGGAGCAGCGCGGGCACGACAGCGCGGCTCAGTAGGGCAGTGAGGCGCGGCTCGGGAAGGCGGCGCGGCTCGGCTGGGCGGCGCGGCTCGGCTGGGCGGCGCGGCTCGGAGGAGCGGCGCGGCTCGGCCAGCAGGCGGCGCAGGTAGCGCGCGTAGGGCAGGTGCTCACCAGGGGCGAGCAGGGCAGGCGCGACGGCGGGGCCGCAACGGCGGCGACGGCGGCGGCCACGACGGTGAGGCCGCGACGGCGGCTGCAGGCGCGACGGCGGCAAGGCAGGGCCGCGACGGGTGCTGCAGGCGCGACGGCGGCTGCAGGGCAGGACCGTGACGGCGGGGCCGCGACGGTGGCAGCAGGCGCGTCGGCGGAGATGGCAGGGCCGCGACAGCGGCTGCAGGTAAGGGGCCGCGACGGCGGCTGCAGATCAGGGGCCGCGACGTGGGGCGGCAGGGCAGGGCCGCGACGTATGGCGGCAGGGCAGGGCCGCGAGGTAGGGCGGCAGGGCAGGGCCGCAACTGGCGGCAAAGCAGCGCCGCAACGGGCGGCGAGTAAGGCCGCGACGGGTGGCGACAAGGCAGGGCCGCGACGGGCGGCTAGGGCAGGGTCGCGACTAGCGACAGCAGGGCTGGGCGCGCGACGGCGCAGGGGAGGCAGGCGCGACAGCGCGCTTCGGGCAGGTAGGAAAAAAAAAATTCAGTGGTGGGCCCTAAAAAAATCGTTCCCACTAGGGAACCTGCTCTGAAACCATGTGAAAGATAGAACGAGGAATGATTGCATTGAGCAGCATGAGGAGTACAAGTCGGAAACCCTAAAGTGTTGTACCCCATATGAACTACCCCACTAGAGCCTACACAGACTTTAGCATATAAGTTTGACACGTCGGTAACGCCCCTGCCTCCCCTCCCGCACCGTCTCGAGTAGCCAGTGTGCTCCGAGCAGATACTGCATTTGAAAGCAGGGAGACCATCAGCCGATTTCAGCAAGATAAGCCAGGAAAACTGGTCCAACCACTCGCCCTTGTATTTTTCAAGCGCCTCGGCGTAAATCTCGTCGCGTCAAGACTGATTAGAAGGCCCAAGTACCGATGGCGATTGCTGCATGCCGGCAACCACGGGTGACGATCATTGGTCGGCTGGCGAAGGTGGTGTAGCACCATCGTCAACGCCCTTTGTGAGCCAAGAGAGTGTGCGTGAATCGGGCGTTCTTCTTAGCCACAGGTACTAGCGCAGTATTTTCAATAGACGACATGGAGCTGTCTTGTTCCATCACTGGCGCAGTAGGGGATGCACAAAACCCCACATCATCGATGTGTTCGAACGGGATATAGTCGGGTGGCGCGAGTGCAACTGCCTTTTCATGGTTGTCGACTTGCGCTAGGGTAGAGAAAATCAAATCTAGGCCGGTAACAGCATCGGAACAATCAGCTGGTGGGAAACGATGCGCATCATCGCCGTGTTCGCCATTATTTTCCAAGTCGTCATGGGGGTCCGGCATAGTTTGCAGCGCTAAACAGGAGCATAACACCTAGGTACGAGTGAAACTAGAGAGGGGATTGGTAGGGCATAACGCTCGCCACGGCTGGCTGCCTCTTGGTACACTAGGCAAGAAAGGAGGGAAACCCCTTTCGGATGGAAAGCATGGAGCAGTAGGGGACCCCGGATGGCAGAAACGGTGGCTGGGCGGCGTGGATGCATCCCATCATGGGAGCATCAGTGCTTGCCAGCACGACCAAGACAAACCGCGCCACAGGTGCAAGCAAAGGTGTAGGAACCCTCGCAGCCTAACAGCACCACTGTGTAGCAACCTTTTCATTGGTCAACCCTTAACCTGCAGCAAAACTTGCCAGTGAACTAACAAGCCGCACCAACAAAGCAACCCTCAAAGGGAATTTGAGGGCGAAATTGTCTGGTAGTCCCCACTAGGCGGTGCTGACACCGCGGGAATCTGAGATTCCTTGTAATTCCAGGCAAATCCACGCAAAATTTGTAAGAATCGCATTCAGAGTTACTTTTGTTACAACACTGTGGAATCTGTCAAAGTAACGAACGAGAATGAACTAGCAGCATGTAGGAGTACAAGTAGCAAACCCTTATTGGGTTGTACCCCAGGGTACTTGTACAAGAGGTCACAAGACCAGTCAAGAAAAGCAAAGCAAGCTCAGGGTGGATCACGATGTCACCACGCATTCTGAGCACAAGCAAATGGCCACAAGGCCAGTTCACATGCAGAGTTATATAAAGCAGAACAAGCAGTACAGTGATCACAACCTAGCAAGTGCAAGCATGCAGGTATAAGTGTATAGATTGTCAAACTATGTTTTGCATAGTTTATATAACTGTTTGTAGTTAGTGTTAGTGTAGTTATATATTTGCTTGTTTGGTGGTGCACCTTTGCTACTTTGCTATATGTACCTTGTGACCTATAGTGAAGCCAACCATTCTCACTCTCGCCTTGCACAACTCTCTCGACATACGTTGGCCTAGGCTACTAAGCCTAGGCCCTCAACCTTACGTTAGTATCTTGACATGGTATTGAGCCATAAAGTTCCTGACCTAAGTTAATGGGCCCACCCATTCGCGGTACGGCGCTCGCTGCGACGGGCGCGGCGGCGAAATGGCCGCGTTTCCCTCGTCGCCATCCCGTCTTTTTTTCCCTCGTCGCCTGCCCGTCGCCACGCCGTCGCGTTTTCCCCCGTCGGCAGCCCGTCGCCAGCCCGTTGCGTTTTCCCCCGTCGCCAGCCCGACGCGATTCTCCCGTCGCCAATACGTCACGTTTCCCTCGTCGTCAATACGTCGCGTTCCCCCCCCGTCGCCCCCTCTGCCCGCGCCTACCCCCTGCTTCACGTCGCCCCAGCCGCTCCTTCGCCCGCCGTCGCTCTTCCCGTCGCATTCCCCCTGCCCCCTGCCCGTCACCCCCTCCGTCGCGACTGTTCGCGTGTGCAGCAGCGGTCGCTGTGGGGAGGAGAGGGAGGAGGGGACGGGAGTGGCGGCGGAACGCTGTGGGGGGGGGAGAGGGAAAGGGGGAAGGGAGTGGCGGCGGAACGCCAGCGATGGGACCGCCAGCAGCTACAACGCCAGCAGAGACCCCCGCCAGCAGAACCCACCGCCAGCAGAGATCCCGCCAGAAGCACCACCGCCAGCAGAGAGACCCCGCCAGCAGCTTCACCGCCAGCAGAGCGACCCCGCCAGCAGCTTCACCGCCAGCAGAGAGACCCCGCCAGCAGCTTCACCGCCAGCAGAGAGACCCCGCCAGCAGCGCCACCGCCAGCAGAGACCCCCGCCAGCAGCGCAACCGCCAGCTGAGACCCCCGCCAGCAGAGACCCCCGCCAGCAGCGCCACCGCCAGCAGAGACCCCCGCCAGCAGCGCAACCGCTAGCAGAGATCCCGCTAGCGGCACCACCGCCAGCAGTGAGACCCCGCCGGCAGCTACACCGCCAGCAGAGAGACCCCGCCAGCAGCTACACCACTAGCAGAGAGCCCGCCAGCAGCTACACCGCCAGCAGAGATCCCGCCAGCAGCACCACCGCCAGCAGAGAGACCCCGCCAGCAGCTACACCGCCAGCAGAGACCCCGCTGCAGGGACTTCCGTGGGTGGGGCAGGGGTGTGGCGGCAGAAAGGGGGACCGGGGTGAGGTTCTAAGGGGCGGCTGACCGGGGGAGTGAGGTTAAGGGGGGGTGGGGACTTGGGGGTTGCTAAGAGGGGTTTCGCCACTGGTGGCTCCCCCTCACCTCCTCTCCTCATCCCACTCTCACCTCTCCCCCCATAAAAGGGGGTTATTAAGAGGGGTTCGCCACGGGTGGCTCCCCCTCACCTCCTCTCCTCATCCCACTCTCACCTCTCCCTTTGTAAAAGGGGGTTATTAAGAGGGGTTCGCCACGGGTGGCTCCCCCTCACCTCCTCTCCTCCTCCCCCTCTCACCTCTCTGCCGTCTTCCACTTCGCCAGGTGTTCCCCTCCACAGGCGTTCTACACTTCTACCTGCAAACAATTCAGGGGGCGTGTCAAACTATGTTTTGCATAGTTTATATAACTGTTTGTAGTTAGTGTTAGTGTAGTTATATATTTGCTTGTTTGGTGGTGCACCTTTGCTACTTTGCTATATGTACCTTGTGACCTATAGTGAAGCCAACCATTCTCACTCTCGCCTTGCACAACTCTCTCGACATACGTTGGCCTAGGCTACTAAGCCTAGGCCCTCAACCTTACGTTAGTATCTTGACATAGATCACAGTACAAGCAAAGTCAAGAAGTGAGTAAGTGAGACCAAGTAGGCACAAGGCCTAGAACAGTACAGAAACGCTGATGATCACCAGACCCAAGGGCCTTGGTGAAGATATCAGCAGTGTTGGCAAGAGAGGCCACGTAAGCAAGACGAAGCTGACCACGGTGCTGCAACTCTCGAGCAAGGAAGTAGCGCAGAGTGATGTGCTTCGTTCTGTGCTCCAGTCTGTGCCCCTAACACAATGCAACCATGGCCTTGTTGTCGACGTACAGAACTGGAGGAGAACGAGGCCGCTCTCCCAAGTCGGTAGTGAGCCAGCGTAACTCCTGTGCAGCCATGGCCCCTGCGTAGATCTCAGCCTCACAGCTGGAACTGAGAACAGAAGACGAGCGGGTGGACCGCCAAGAAACAGAGCCGGAGCCAAGGCCGAAAGTGTAACCCTATGACGACCGCTGCGTAGCCAGGTCGTCAACCCAAGAAGGGTCTGCGTGGCCAGTGAGGACAACTCGAGCCCGTCCTCCAAACACGAGCCCCATGCCCGACGTACTGCACAAGTAGCGCAACACCCTCTTAGCGGCCTCCCAGTGCTCTGGTCGGTGTCTCACGGGCGCAACGTAGCGTGCCAGGATGCTAAGAAGGTAGGCTAGTGCAGGTCATCAGGTACATGAGGCAGCCCACAAGCTCTGGATACGGGCCACTCGGCTCTACGGACTCATCCGAAGGCAGAGCTGAGAGCGAGTGACCGGCAGGCAGAGGAGTGGACTGTGGCGAGGAGAACGTGAAGCGAAAGCGCTGAAGGACCTGCTGCACCATGTGTGACTGAGTCAAGGTAATGGTGCGCTGTGCTCTATCCCGGGTGATCTGCAAGCCAAGATAGCTGCGCAGCTCACCCAGGTCTGTGCACGTGTGTCTCTTATGCAGCTCCGACTTCACAAAGGCCAGTCCAGCAGTGTCAGCAGTGGCAAAGACCAAGTCGTCGACGTACATCATCGTGTACAAACGAAGGGTCAGTGACAACAGTGGCTAGAAGACGTGTGACAGTAGGACTGGCAGCACGAGCAAGGTCTGACGGCGGGTCAGCAACGTCAGGAAGAGAGGATGTAGGAGGAGACGGCAGAGGGACACGTTGTGGAACAGAGAAAGGACGAAGTGCCATCTGGTGCGTGCCGGGGACAGGAGGAGGACGCTGACGCAGAACACGACGACCAGTGCGAACAGCGCGAACAGGGTTTCACGCAAACCAGCAAACCACTCACGAAGCTCCTGGGGTGAAGGGTTCTCACGCTGACGCTGCTGCTGCTGCCTCTGACCACCGCCAAAGCCTCCCCTCTGACTGGTACCACCCCGGCCGCCACCACTGCCGCCTCCCCCACTCCCACCGCCGCCACCACTCCCACCGCCGCCACCACCGCCCGCCTCCACTCCCACCACCACTCCCTCCGCCACCACCGCCACCTCCACCGCCTCCACCACCCCCACCACCGCCTCCACCGCCGCCACCCCCACCGCCCCTGCCTCCCCGGCCCCTGCAGCTGCAGCGCCTCCCACTAGGGGCAGACGCAGCTCCTACCTCCTCAGCACGAAGGTAGTCAACAGCTGCAGCAGAGGCGACGGAGGGGACTAGGGGGGAGGGCGAACACCCCTCAAAGAAGGGAGTGCAAGGAGTGCCACAAGAAGCACCTACAGCGACTATGCTAGTCTCAGCTGCTAGGAGGTGCTTCTCGAGTAGGTCGACTGTGAGGTCGGTGGGGACAAGGGCTAGAAGGAGGTCCCTGATAGCGCTAAGAGAGTCAGGGAGGCGGGTGACTATGAAGTAGAGAGTGATGTACATGGGAGGAGGGTTCTTGGTGAGAAACTCGGCGGGAAGCGCGGCGCGGTAGCGAGTGTCACTAGTGCGAAGGTGAGTGATGAGGTCGGCTACTGTGGCAAAGGCGGACAGCTCTGGGAACAGGTAGGGCAGGAGAAGGCGGCCTGGAGCAGCAGTGGCCGGGGAGGAGTAACGAGCGACTACAACGTCGTACAGGGCTCTAGCTATCTTGTGCTGGCTAAAGTGAGCGCGTTCGGCTAACGGCAGGTGGTTGCGAATGGCTAGGCGAGCAGCAGCGTCACGGGTAAGCCACTATGAGCGAGTCGCACTGTCAGCTATGGCGGCAAAGGCGAGAGAGGCGCCAGACGTGAGGTCAAACAGTGAAACTCCGTCCTTGGAATCGCTCAGTAAGTACAGCTGTAAGTCGTCGAGCCACGCATCGAACTCTATCGGGCGGCCCTCCGGATCGAAAGTGAGGACACTGAGCGTGGCCATAGTGGACAGAGCAGTCGGGCGCGCTAGCAGCAGAGCAGCACGCAGGCAGGGCTAGGCAGGCCAGCGCGCTAGCAGCAGGGCAGCACACAGGCAAGGCAAGGCAAGGCGGCGCAGGGCGACTCAGCTGCGAGCGGCGCGCGGGCAGCAGGAGAGGGCGGCGCAGCAGCGAGCGGCGCGCGGCAGGGCAGGGCGCACAGTGGCGCGGCGCGCGGGCAGGGCAGGACGGCGCAGCGGCGCGGCGCGCGGGCAAGGCAGGGCGCGCGGCGACGCGGCGTGCGGGCAGGGCAGGGCGCTCTGCAGCGGGCGGTGCGCGGGCAGAGCAGGGCGCGCGGCGGCGGGCGGCGCGCGGGCAGGGCAGGGCGCACGGCGGCGGGCGACGCGCAAGCAGGGCGACGCGGCGGCGCGGCGCGCGGGCAGGGCAGGGCGCACGGCGGCGGGCGACGCGCAAGCAGGGCGACGCGGCGGCGCGGCGCGCGGGCAGGGCGACGCGGCGGCGCGGCGCGCGGGCAGGGCGACGCGGCGGCGCGGCGCGCGGGCAGGGCAGGGAGCGCTGCAGCAGGCGGCGCGCGGGTCAGCAGGGCGCGTGGGCGAGGCGGCGCGGCGGCGCGCGGGCAAGCAGGGCGCGCTGCAGCGGGCGGCGCGCGCGCAAAGCAGAGCGCGCTGCGGCGGGCGGCGCGCGGGCAGAGCAGGGCGTGCGCAGGCAGCGCGACGCAGGGCAGGGCAGGGCAGGGCGGCGCGATCACGGCGGCGCGACGGGTGGGGTAGCGCTACTCGGTGGGCCCTAAAAAAAACGGTCCTAGGCTAGGACCTGCTCTAAAACCATGTCAAAGTAACGAACGAGAATGAATGAACTAGCAGCATGCAGGAGTACAAGTAGCAAACCCTAATTAGGTTGTACCCCTTATGGGCTACCCCACTATAGCCTACAGAATAAGCAGCATATAAGTTTGACAGAATCAGTGTACCCAGAAAAAAAAAAATCCTGAAAAATCAGTGTTACCTATGAAATTAAGGCTGAAATATCAGTGTCACTAAAATCTGAACTCTGAAAAAACTGTGTAGGTACATAAAAGTAGGCCGATAATAAGGAATTTCAGGGAAAAAACCCTGATATCATAGGGCCTGCGTGGAACGCATCCTTATGCTACCCCCCCCTTATAAGACAGGTGGTCCACATCATGTACTCTTCAGCAGGAAAGGTAATCACGTGGCATCGAGTTTCTTGAATGCAAGTCATTAGTGACCCACATGTCATCCTCGCTGGTGCGGTCAAGAAACTGAAGTAGCACATCGACGTGTCGTCTCGTCGTTGTTAGTCGCCTTCGATTGTTTAGTTTACGTAGCGATTACATCCGATAGTAGAATGGGCCAGTAGTAGTTGCAATGTAATAAATTCAACGTTTTGTCGATGCCAAAGTGCCCGGAGAGGTTGAGGTCGTTAACCTCTTGCGTCAACAACTCCCTTAACTGTCAATATGAAATGACCCAAATCCGGTCAATCCCTACCTTAAGGTAATTATTCTGGTTGCGCTCAAAGAAGTGGTTGATCTTGTAGCCATGGTTGAATAATCATGTAAGCAGCAGGTTTGAATGGGCAGTGAGTACTGCTGTAGTCTGTATCAAAGGTCGGATCAGGGCGCTGGCGATATTATCCGCGCCCGTCTGACATGTTATGGTGTTGCGAAGTTGGATTTGAGAAAGTATGACCATCAAATGTGTCGCGTGTTGAGAGTTGGCTGGGCTCGTAGATACTGTATCGACTTGTTATCTGTCATGAATGTCATGTCAGCATGCACAACGACGAGCATTTCCTTGTCGTGCACCAGGTAGTTGCGCTCGCGTGCATTTTACGTGAATCATATGCAATTGGTTGCATCCCGTTGTCATTTTTTTTTTATGGTGTGGTGCCGATGGTGAAATCATTGGCGTCCGTTATCACGCCGATGGGTCCGTGAACCATAGTACTGAGGGTGATGTCAAAATCTTTTTGAGCCCGTCGAAGGCCAATTGCCCTCCCCCCCCCCACCTCCCCAAAGAAAGAGCCTCCTTGTAAAGAAGGTCGGTTAAGGGTCCGGCTCTGCACGTCATTTTTTAGGATAAAGCGTCGCACTTAATTTACGAACCCTATAGAACTTTGCAACTATGTGACGTTCGTTGGCAACTTCCACTGTAGAATCACTATCATTTTGTAGGGGGCAATCATAATACCTTCTCCTGAGATCATGTGTCCGGATAACTCCA